AGCCGCACTAGGCCTTCCTTCTACTCTACCTCTCCCGGAACCTCTTTCTTTCTCTTCTCGCGAGAAGTTATTTCACTCCCCCTCCCTGAATCGTATCCCTCCGCTTCTCCGGACCCCTTTCTGGAGAGTTCTGTGTGTAAGGAGAATGGGAAAATAGTCCTTCGTGCCCGAGCGGGCCCCATCACCAGGTGCTGCTCCCCCTCCGCCCGGCTGCCCCGCTGGTGACGGTTTGGGGGGTTTGGGGGTCACACCCGGGGCAGGGAGCCTCGGAGTCAGAAGGGGGCTGTGGGGGGTTTGGGGGTCACACCCGGGGCAGGGAGCCTCGGAGTCAGAAGGGGGCCTGGGGTTTTTGGGGTCACACCCGGGGCAGGGAGCCTGTTAGGATCTGAGGGAAGCCTCAAAACTTCTCCCTCCTCCATGTCCGTTGTTGCCCAGGAGTTCTCTTTTGCGGCCTTTTTTTTTTTTTTGTAGGAGTTGCCATTTAACCCTGAAATGCAGGAAGTCCTCCTCAAGTGCAAGCTGGCTTTTATTTAACTTCAGTGTTGTGTATGGCAACTTAATAGGCACATGTACTTGAGCTTCTAGCTGAGGGAAAAATACCAAGTAAGAATTTTAAACCTAGAGAGGTGATGAGCAACCCAGGCTAGTGAATGGGCTTCATGAGTGGCCCTCCTCAATCTCAGTGGACTGCAAGATTGTCATAACCATACAGTTTCCCGGGATAGGGTAGTCTTGCTAACTGTGCTTGTGTACCTAGAATTTCTGGAGTGTGCCAGTTGAATCATAGCAGTGGTTTCATTGGATGCAGAGGGAGCATAGAGCTCTCATAGTCAACATGTGGCATCAACACACACTTCAGTTTGCATACATATCACTTCAGTAACAATAGGAAAATAAAATGTTTTGTAGGCCACACACAGAATCCTAATGGGCTGCAGATTGCCCACCACTGTTCTAGGGAAAGCCTTAATTGATCATCTTACTCTGCGTAAACATTCTGGGTCCATCCAATTTGGTTTAGTATCTGAAGCTACCGTGTATGAGATTCGTGTATTTTGATGGGCAGGCCTACTAAAGTCTCCTAATCTATTCTTCCCTTTTTAATCTGTTATGCCATTACAGGTTGAACCTCTCTAGTCTGGCACTGTCCAGTCCAGCAACATCTGTGGTATGGCATAATGTTAGCTGGATGTTCACTTATCGTGGGTGTGGCCGAGTTTTTTTTTTTTTTTTTTTTTTCCATGGTCCATAACGTTTGTTTACAGCCATCGGTCCCTATGTCAACTTGCTGTGCTGTGGTTTAGCTCTAATTTACCCCTACATGTCTTCTGAGAATCCTGTAAGCAATGGAAGTATTGGTAATCTGCTGGGCAATATTGACTTCCCGTGATTGGGCAGGTTCTCTGGTTTGGCACCACTCACGTCCCAAGGGTACCAGACTAGAGAGGTTCAACCTGTATTGGCATCACCGATTAAACTCTTAACTGTTAGTGGAGGGTGAAGTGATCATAGATGTCAGATATTCAGCAGCTCATGATCTTACAATGTCATTATTATATGGTACATCTCAGTACATAGTTATTTAACGTATTTGCAGGAAAATGCACCTAAAAATCTTGTCCTTGCAGGCTAAAAATGTTTATAAACTCTTGTCTCCTAGTCTTTTTGCATGAGACCATCAGTTTCTCTTTTACTCTGGAAAGTGTTACAAGAAATTCTTAAGTAGTCATCCTCATAGTTCATAATAAATATTGGCAAGGGACAGCTGTCCAAAAGTAGACTCTTGAGGAATCTTTTGCCAACCTACTTAGTGCGCCACTTGTTTGGCAGACTATTCCAAAACAAGATCCAGCCTGGATTACTGACTTTTGAGTTCAAACCCCATGTGTGTATCCTTCCTGAGTGTTTTCAAGTGTGGATTACTTGTTTAGATTCTCCAACAAAAGTTGGATAAAAGGTACAATCGGTGACTGGAGATCTGTGGGGCCATTTCTGTTCTGATGCACACAGCAATGGACTTGCAGCGCATTTCTGCTGTGATTGCATGGCATTTGTAAGTGCTCAAAGCTTTCTTTTAATGTCTTGTATTGATCAAATTAAAGTAGCTCATTGAGTGCCCAAAAGTACTGCTTTGAGAAGCTTGTAAGCTTAAGATTTGTCTGCATGGGGAAATTTATTGGCACAGTTATACCAGGTTACCTATAACAGTATAATTCCCCCATGTGGATCTGTGCCTGTGGAATTAGTGCCTTTTTTCTGGAGTAGCTTATGTTGCTTTGACAGAACTTTAAAGTGTCTGACTTGGAAAAAGGCACTCTTCTTCTGGGGTAAAACTATATACATGGGCAATTTACCTGCTAACTATAGCAGTTTACTTTCCATGTCAAAAATAATTGTTTTTTTATAGTCTCAGAGGGGTAGCCATGTTAGTCTGTAACTAAAAAAACTTAACCATGATGTAGCAATGGTCCCTGAGACTTATAGATATGCTGAGTGTGGCCCTGGATCTACAGGTTCACTGAACTGATATGCCTTTTAAATAGCATTTGGTTTATCTTTGCTTTTGGCTGAGTTAAATAACAGTTTAATGGGTATCATTTCCATCTGCACAGGTCAAGCACCCAGATCATGTTAGTGCTGTCTACAAGTGGTTTAGATACAAGTGGTTCAGTGCCCTTATGGCTTTCTCAAAGTTTCCTGGTGTCCACTCATCAGGTCTATGCCAGGAACTGAGGAGTATTCAGAGGGAGTTTTAGCCAATGGTAGAACAACACTAGCACAAATATCACGAACACGTTTAGGCATTAGAGTGGATATTCTCTTTTGTGCTAGGCATTTGTATCAATTCTCAAGTCTAGATCTAAGTGGTTAGGCTATAACATGGCTGCTCCCTTTAATTTTTTCTATCCATGTGTAGAATAAATTGTGTGCACTGAGGTGCATGCAAATGTGCACCACCAGTCGAAACACATGCTGCCAGCTAAGGATGCTCTGCTAATTAGCCAAGTGTCATTCAAATCTCTTCTGGGTGGCCACTCAAATGCTCAGCTTATAGGCACACTGAATAGGGCTTACTTTCGTCACTCAACATTTAATTATTTAACGACCTAAAACTTGAAAAAAATTATAATTGTAACAGAGGGAAGACTGAAACTGAATAATTCTTCTTCTGTTCATGAGGGTGCTGGTACTGTGGCTTCCTGTGAATACTGGTCTCATATTCCAAGATAATTTTAACAATTTTTGGGGAAAGATGGGGCACTTTAACATAACCAGATAAGCCAAATCTTGGTATTATATAACTTATCTCCAAATAATTGAAAAAAGGTTGTGGCATATGCTGAACAATGGAAGAGGCTGTATGTAGTTTTAATCTAACATAGGAGGCATTCCAGTAGAGTGAAATGCACATTCCAAAATGCTAACTTAAAATGGGGCAATGTTGAGGGAAAGCACATCCTTTTGTGTTGGTCTCCCGAAGCCGTACACTTCTACAGAATTCAAGCTTTCATTGAAAACATTTCTAGCTCTTTACAATAATTTGACACTTATGCCCATGTCTAGGTTGGCTTTTTCAATTTTGGACTGTGGGGAATGAATAGCAATGTGCAATTTAGTGTTGTGAGTAACTCCATGTTGCAGGCACTAACTAAAACTTTGCATTGATGCAGCAGAATTCTTCCCCTTTAAACTGCCTCAGAAGTTGGGCCAGCAAATTCTCTTACCTTTACTTGCAGAGAAAGTTGTGAGAAGTGGCTGAAGTAGCAGCAGTCCAGCATGAAGATTAAGTCTCTTAGATATGTTAACATATGGGGTATAGGTTGAACCTCTCTAGTCTGGCACCTTTGTGACCCTACCAGTGCTGAACCATGGGAGTTCAATATTGTCTGGCAGAATTACCAACACTTCCATTGCTCACTGGGTTCTCAGAAAAGGTGTAGGGGTAAATTAGAGCTAACATACATTACAGAACATTCCTGGGAGTCCGGACAGGCGGTTGTATACACACTTCATTGGGACCCTGGGAAATTTGGCCACCCCCATGATAAGTGGCCATCCGGCTAACTCAAATCATACCAGAGCACACCTGTTGCTGGACCAGAGTGCCGGAATGGAGAGGCTCAACCTGTATCTCTGTTGCCTGTAGGAAGATGTTCATTGTGATTGAGGCACTGAACTGGGATTTGATATAAAGGTTCAATTTCTAGTTCTGCCACAGACTGTGACCTTGGGCAAAGTCAGTTGTCTAATTTGTCCTTGGCTTGAAGGGGTGGGTGACTAGCTCACTCATGATGTATTCTAATTATGTAGGGATGAGAGTAACAGAAGTTTGAGCCAAAAGAGGAAGCCACTGATCATTTTATCAGGCTAGTATTCTGGTGGGGTGATGGTACAAGATGGTCACTTAGGAATCTGTCATTTCAGAGGTCAAAGTGAAGTTGCTTGGAGTTTGTTGAGCTTTAGATACTCTTAGATTTTATACAAGATCCTCTGATATGGTGGCCACATCTTACTCAGCAGGTGTCCCCAATAGAATCATTGGCTTTGGAGTTCTACATTCTCTAGTCAAAGTAATGGATTTTGTGCTTCCAAGAAACTTTAGTTCTAAAACTGTTGAGGTCTTAGAGAAATTAAAGGCTGTAAGATGAAGTGTCCTGTTTCTTGGAAAAATTTCCTTCAGGTTGCATAAGGGGCTGTCTCAGCAGATCTTGTCTGCATGTTTGGTGACTCGTATCTAGAAGGTTTGGGAAGCTCTTCCCTGTTGGCAGAAGCAGATCTTCATGGAAACCTGAGGATGTGCAGGATGATCTCAAACCAATATGTTGCCTACAAAAGCTCTTGGTACCATACAGATATTTTGGGTTAGACTCTAAGTTACTACAGAACTTGTTGTTGTGTTAAAAGTAATTTTAAAGTGACAGACTAACACTGTTACCTCTCAAAACAGTCAGGAGATATAGAGTCCATCCTTCCTCTCCACTGTCTGGGGGATACTTGCCCTAACTTTCAGGCCTGTGAAGCCATTTTGCTTGATCTGTTCAAAGTGATGTGCTAAATTCCAGCTCTTCTTTTTATGGCTCTTATGGGGAAACGTCTTTGAGAGATTTTAGTTCTATTGAAAACAAATTATAGGCAGTATTTGAGCCTTACAAAGGGAAAAGACTTTTTATTCGTGTTTTTTCTTATTACACAGAGGATCTGTAGTCTGGGGCAGGATTC